TTTGTTCTGTTAGAAATGTAATACAATGGTATGGTTGCTGATGACATGGTAAATAAATAGTAATATTACATGTGATATAAAATCTATAATTATAATATCATATTATTAGTAGTATTATATTGTATTACATTATAATGTAATTATTATATGTATATACAATATATTTTATTCCATTATATTATATTAGTATAGCACAGGAGACAAGGTGGAACTGTCCCCTGCCCCCCCCTCCCCTTCACTCTGGCCCAGAGTGGCAGTTGGTGCTGGGGGGAGGGGTCCCCAACTAGGGGCCAGGGGCATCAGGCCTGGGACTAGTCCTTATCAAAGGCCTGATGAAACCACCAGGTCTTCAAGTCCTTCCGGAAAGAGTAGAGTGACAGAGCCTGTCCTAGTTCCCAAGAGAGGGCGTTCCAGAGGCGAGGGGTCACCACTGAGAAAGCCCTCTTCCTTGTCCCCACCAACTGTGCTTGAGACGGTGGCAGGAGCGAGAGGAGGGCCTCCCCGGTAGATCGTAGATCTGCTTGGCCACCTCTGAGCGCACTCTTGAAAGAAGAATATAAACTAAGGAAATGACAGAGGAGGCACCAACCTTCCTTTAAGTCCATGATCCACATGGTGTCCAAGGCGTCGATGAGGGTCAGTCCAAGGCCAAACCATTCGTTGAAGGACTTTGAGATGGGCTTGAGCTCGTCGTGGCCCCAGGCAAACTCTTTGTAGCCCTTCCAGGCATGGCGGAAGGCCTCGATCACGGCCAGCTGGCGCTCATTGAGGGGAACTGTGAGGAGCAGAAAATGGGAGGGGCAGAAAATGGGAAGAATTACAACTTTGGTGGGTGACAAGGTGGCTGCTGGGATGAAGCTCAGTTCTGCTTGGAGAACACAGAACCAAATGGTTGGAAGACACCCCAGGAGCCATCCTGCCAGACAAAAACACAGATTCCTTCTTCCCCAGCATGGGACTGCAGTGCAACATCTCTGGGGGGCAGTAAGTGGACATTCAGATCCCTCTCTTCTGGAACTGGTAATCAGGGTTTGGCCACCATACGTACCTGGCTCCTTTTGGTCTTCGGCTTCCATCGGGGAGGGTTTGTCCAGTTCTTTAATTTTACTGGAAGGAAGCTCTGTGCCCTGATCAGGCTCAATCACAGCTCCTCTCCAGCTAAAGAAGAAGAAGAAGATGCAGATGAATCCAGGCTCACTGGTCATAATAAAAATCATTATTATAATTATTTTATTTCTTACCAGCCTCTCCTTGAACCTCAAAGCTTCAACATACCATAGATACTGAAGTATAAGCCAAGTTTTCCACCCCTTTTTTAGGCTGAAAAAATCCTCATCGGCTTATACTCGAATCAAAGTTATTTATTATTTTTACCCTGTTATCATCATCATTATTATTATTACATTTATTATTTTACTCTATTACTATTATTATAGGGTTGCTGTAAGTTTTTGAGGCTTTATGGCCATGTTCCAGAAGCATTCTCTCCTGACGTTTCGCCTACATTCTCACAACTTCTGAGGATACCTGCCATGGATGCAGGTGAAATGTCAAGAGAGAATTTTTCTGGAAAATGGCCATACAGCCCAAAAAACTTACAGCAACCCAGTGATTCCAGCCACGAAAGCCTTCAACATTTACATTATTTTACTTTATTATTTATTTTACTCTATTATTATTACATTTATTATTTTACTCTATTTGTTATTATTAAATTTACATTATTTTACTCTATTTTTATTACATTTATTATTTTACTCTCTTATTTATTGTTGGAAGGACATGTAAGCACATTTACATTGAAGAAGGTCAGAATAGTGCTTTAATCAGAGTTGGACAATCTTATCTTAAATTACAGTTTTATGTAAATTTTCAAAAACATTGAACTTCCTGATGCCTCAATTAATGTCATTTTATTGGTATCTATTTTTAGTTTTAAATTGACCAGTATCTACTGCACTTCCCACTCTCGTCTTATACTCAAGTCAATACGTTTTCCCAGTTTTTTGTGGCAAAATTAGATGCCTCAGCTTATATTCAGGTCAGCTTATACTAGAGTATATACGGGTAGGAGTTATAATAATATTAATACTTTGCAAGCCAACCATGTTTCTGCAAAAGGAACGTTCTTTACAGGGACCGAAAGGAGCTACTGGCACTCCAGGCTGCCTACCTGATGACCGACTTCTCTGTTTTGTGCTCTCTCTCTGCTTGCGCAGGCTCCTCTTCAACCCTGGGTGCCTCTTCCGCCGTCTTCTCCCTCGTCTCCCTGCGGGGCGGCCTGATCTGGAGGTTAGGGGGCCCTCGCCGAGCAGGAGGCAGCTTCGGAGGTTTCTAAGGGAAACATAGGGCCCCAGATCAGAGAGGCTGAGCCCAAACATTTTCTGCAAACCTGCAGGGAAGGCTCCTGTCAAAACTTAGGCCAGGTTTTGATCCAACCCCCAACTCCCCACCCTCAGAATTCATAATGGCTTCATCTCTATAACGTTCTCATTTGTCAAGAACCCTCTTTTATTTTTGCACACTTCAGTGGGGTGTTTGGAATGGAACGTGGCTCTCAAGTTGGGTCACATTCCATGGAGATAGCTAGAAAGATCTATGAACTGGCTCCATTGTGCAATAATAAAAACTCCAGAGCAGGGGGAGGAATTACTTGAAGGGAGACCTCTCCAAGACTGGCGTCAGCTTTCTGCGGAATGGGGAGGATTGCCTGATTCGCTGGATTCAACCCGGGGATCTCCAGGTCCGCTTTCGGTTCTTCCAAAGACCTGCTGGCCATGCCTGTGTGGGTCACAAAACAACAACACCGGCAACAGTGAGGACCTTATGCAATGCCATGAAATGAGCCGCCAAGGCTGCAGGCAAGGACCTCATCCCGATTTGGCCACATGACCCAATTACTGTCTGCTTTTTCAGCATGTTTTTGGTCTCGCAAACAAAAATCTCAACCTCGATATTTGCATAGGAGCTCAGGAACTAAAACAGCTTGAACCGCCAAGGCTGGATTTAGTGTTTTTGTTCCTAGCGACTATTAATAAACATACCACAAACCTGCAAATTGCCACCATGCTAGTACCTGAACCCTTGGTACTCTGCAACTGTCCCGTTCTCTCAAGCCAAAAAAGAGACAGTTTGCAACGGAAGAACTTTATTTCTTATTGGCACAAAGAGGAGGCCACCTGGTGCTAGCTAGGCACAAAGTTTCATGAATTCCTACCAAAAGTTTTTTACAATAGACTTCTCAAGCACCGGGAATCACAGAATTCTAGAAGCACAAAGCACCCCCAACAGATAGCCATCCAGCCTCCGCTCAAAAGCTTCCAGAGAAGAAGCCTCCATTGAACTCTAAGGCAGTGAGTTCCACTATTGAACAACTCTTCTTTCAGTCAGCAATTTGTTCCTAATACAGTGGTTCCTCACTTATCGCGGGTGTTATGTTCCAGGACAACCTGCGATAAGTGAAATTATGTGAAGTAGAGACGGCCCCTCTCCTCCCTCCTTACTCTCTTTACCTTCTGGAGCAGCAGCAGCCGCGGTTGAGGAGGCGGGAGAGGTAGCACGGGGCCCAAGCAGCGGCAAGAGGCCCAAGCAGCGACGAGGAGGAGGAAGAGGAAGGTAATGTGGGTGAGGGGACAGCTCTTCTTCCCTTCTCACCCTCTTTACCTTCCTCTTCCTCCTCTTCATCGCCACCGCTTGGGTCCCGCGATGTATCCGCCTCCTCCTCAATCAGACTGGTCATTTATAATATTTTTGTATATTAAGAGTCAGATGCCTTCTCTGCAGCTTCTGGAAGATAAAGAGGGCGAGGAGAAGGAGGAGCTGGGGCCTTTCTGCTCAGTGTTCCCTCACTACTTAAATTCTTTTTTTTAAAAAACGCGAAACTGTGAATCCGCGAAAAGCGAGGGAACACTGTATTCAGGTATTATCGATTGGCTTTTGTTCCATATCTTAATGCTTCTGATTAGCTATAATCCTAGATCAGTGGCATCAAATTTGTGGCCCTCCAGGTGCTTTGGACTTCAGCTCCCAGAATTCCTAGCCACTGGACAAGCTGGGCAGGGCTTCTTGGAGTAGGAGGCCCAAACATCTGGAGGGCTACAAGTTTGATGCCTCTTTCCTACAATCTATATGCATGAACAGCATGGGTTTGCGTTGTTTTTTGCTGTGTTTAACCAGACAGAAGGAGTTGTACTTTGACCAGAACTTATTCTCATATTTATTTATAGACTATCTCTTGGTATCCAACCTGTCAGAAATTATCACAACCGTCCCAACCCATAACTAAGAGAATTCAGTTTATTGCCTGAGAGAGATCCACGCTCCAAAAAACTACCAATGCTACAGTTAAGGCTTCGGCCCAGCACCTGGGAGTTACGCCCCACTGTTCTACACCATGGGACTTACTTTTCCATGCTTCAGCCATGTTGGCATAAGTAATAACTCCGCAAACGGCCAAGAAGGCGAAGGAGAAGAGGATCACGTTCCGCTGGAGCCGGGACAGCTGCTTCCATTTCTGACAGCAAAACCACAGAGGAGGAAATGTCTTTAGCTGACAGCCGCAGGAAAGGTGCATCAACCCCATGTGCCCTCACTCCCAGGTGAGAGAAGCAACAACACGCAACACTTCCGCTGTAAGTATTTACACTGGTTCAACGTACGTGGCATTAGGCCGAGTCAGTATGCACACACGCAGAGACACACACACAAACCCCTGCCAGAAAAGGGATGCTTCCTTCTGGGGAGTTGAGGGGAAATATCAAGGATTAAGTGGTGAGCAAATGTGGCAGCATCAACAATGGATTGTGATATAATCAGGAGAGGATGAGGGAGTGTTTAGCTTTAAAGACCTGAGTGCTTTCTGAGTGCGTGTGAAGGTCTAAAAGCAACAAACAAGTCACCTTCACAGATTAGAGAGCTAATCAGCCAAAACCAACAAAAAATATTTCAACAAGGAAATATAAATTAAATGGACAGATACAAGTTTGGTGGGACCTGGCTCAACAACAAAACATTGGGAATGGGACCGAAGAGTTCACAAGCTTAAACGTGAGCCAACAGTGTGATGCAGCAGCAAAAAAAGCCCAATACAATTCTAGGTTGCATCAATAGGAATCCCACCGGAGTGGGGCCTATTGATCTACTCACATTTGCATGTTTTTGAACTGCTAGGTTGGAAGGAGCTGGGGCTAACAGCAGGAGCTCACGCCGCTCCCCGGATTCAAACCTGTGACCTTTTGGACAGCAAATTCAGCAGCTCAGCAGTTTAACCCACTGCGCCACCAGGGGCTCGCTGGCAAGGCTACTCAATGTTAATCAAGCTTGCTAATTGCGACATCCACACTGGCTTCAAACAGGCAAGGGTTCTTTATCCCACCCTGGAGATCATTCTATAGGGATATATACACTCCACTTGCTTTACTATCTCTATGCAGAGACTCTCATTGATTGTCAAGGCTACTCAATGCTAATCAAGCTTACTAATTGCAAAATTCACACTTGCTTCAAACAGACAAGGGTTCTTTCTCCCACCCTGGAGATCATTCTATAGGGATATATAGACTTGGCCACGGTGGTTCATACTCTTGTTACAACCCGAATAGATTACTGCAACACGCTCTACGTGGGGTTGCCTTTGAAGACTGTTTGGAAGCTTCAAATGGTCCAAAGGGCGGCAGCCAGGTTACTAACAGGAGCAGAGCTCAGGGACCCCACTACTCCTCTGTTGCGTCAGTTCCACTGGCTGCCAAATTGCTACCGAGCACAATTCCAAGTGCTGGCTTTAGCCTATAAAGCCCTAAATGATTCTGGCCCAACTTACCTGTCCGAATGTCTCTCCTCCTATGAACCATCTAGGAGCTTAAGATCATCTTGGGAGACCTTGCTCTCGATCCTGCCTGCCTCACAAGTGCGATTGGCAGAGATGAAGGACAGGGCCTTCTCAGTGGTGGCCCCCCGGCTATGGAACTCCCTCCCAGGGATATTAGATCAGCCCCCTCCCTCCTGACTTTTCAAAAAAAAAAAAAAAGTAAGCTTTTGAGAATGCAGCGGAATAGATAACATGAAACTATGAATGATGAACATGGAATGACCAGACAATGTTACTGGATAACGTTTTTAACAAGATGACACCGATGATTATATACTTTAACAGTTTTTATTTATGTTTTATACTAGCTGTACCCGCCACGTGTTGCTGTGGCCAACCTTCCCTCCCTCTTTCTTTCCTTCTCTCCTTCCTTCCTTCTCTTCCTCTACCCTTGCTTCCTCCCCCCCTTTTCTTTCCCTTTCTCTTTCTCCCTGTTCTTCCTTCTCTATCTATTCTTGCACTGCAACTCCAGCAGTCCTCCTGATCGATCTATCTACCTTTCTATCTCTTTCTAATCTATCTATCTGGAGGATTGCTGGGAGTCGCAGTCCAGGAATATGAAGTTGGAAATATGCAGGGATTGGGATGCTCTCAAAGAAATCCAAGGGGAAGAAAGTTTGCATCTTGGAAGCAGTGCATTTGGATCATCTTCCTATCCTAAAAGGCCTGGTCTAAGGGATGCTGGGAGCTGTAGTCCGGAAGATAGTGTGGATATGCTATTGTGTGTTTTGTTTGCTGAGAGAGTTGTTTTTGCGCATGCACTGTAGCGTCTTTTTGCTTTTTTGGCTTTTTAAGTCCCGTCCACTGCATTTTTCAGTGTTTTTAGGAGTGATGGTCACTCAATGGCCTGATAGGTGTATTGTGTCCAAATTATGTGTCAATTCATCCAGTGGTATTTGAATTATGTTGGGCCCACAAACGAACATTACATTTTTATTCATATAGATTGTAATGCTGATTGTTTTAATGGCGCTTTTATGAATGCCCAACATCGAATTGTGCCAATCTGTAACCTGCCTTGAGTCAACCTATGGCTGAGAAAGGTGGGCTCCGGCCCAGTGTACCTGTCTGAACATATCTCCTTCTATGTCCCACCTTGGAGTTTAAGATCTTTGGGGGGAGGCCCTGCTCTCAGCCCTGCCTCTATCACAAGTGAGGCTGGTGGGGACGAGGGACAGGGCCTTCTCGGTGGTGGCCCCTCGCCTGTGGAATTCACTCCCCAGGGAAATTAGGTCATCAACATCCCTCCTCTCCTTCAGAAGGAAGCTGAAAACATGGATATTGGACCAGGCCTTTGGGTAATCTGGCAGACTGACAAGATAATGACGACCAGAAACTGGAAAGGACTATTGTAATGCTGAATTGACTTATGGATATTAGAACTCGGTGAACATTGGCCACTAGATTGGCTTTTAATTGTTTAATTGTTATTGTTTTAATTGATTGTTTTAACTACTGTGGTTATTGCTGTTATGTAATTTATTTGTTGAATTGTTGGCATCATATTGTGCCGGTGTAAGCTGTCCTGAGTCCCCCTTCGGGGGTTGAGAAGGGCGGGGTAGAAGTGACTGAAATAATAAATAAATAAATATCGTAAATAAATAAATACACTCCACTTGCTTCACTATCTCTATGCAGAGACCCTCACTGATTGACTTACTCAATGCCAATCAAGCTTGCTAATTGCAACATTCACACTTGCTTCAAACAGGCAAGGGTTCTTTCTTCCACCCTGGACATCATTCCAAAGGGATATATACACTCCACTTGCTTCACTACCTCTATGCAGAGACCCTCACTGATTGACAAAGCTACACAATGCTTATCAAGCTTGCTAATTGTAAAATTCACACTTGCTTCAAACAGGCAAGGGTTCTTTCTCCCACACTGGAGATCATTATAGTGATATATATACACCCCACTTGCTTATATATATATATACACCCCACTTGCTCATGCGCCTTTCACCTTAAGAACAGACAAGCATCCCGAGCTCTGAGGATTACCTGGGAAGGAATCCCACTGGAGCATTGCAGCACACCCAAATACCTGGGAGTCACTTTGGACCGTGCTCTTACCTACAAGAAGCACTGCCTGAACATCAAGCAAAAAGTGGGCGCTAGAAACAACATCATACGAAAGCTGACTGGCACAACCTGGGGATCACAACCAGACACAGTGAAGACATCTGCCCTTGCGCTATGCTACTCTTCTGCTGAGTACGCATGCCCAGTGTGGAACACATCTCACCACACTAAAACAGTGGATGTGGCTCTTAATGAGACATGCCGCATTATCACAGGGTGTCTGCGCCCTACACCACTGGAGAAATTACACTGCTTAGCCGGTATTGCACCACCTGACATCCACCGGGAAGTTGCAGCCAATAGTGAAAGGACCAAGGCAGAGACATCTCCAGCTCATCCCTTGTTTGGGTATCAGCCAGCACGTCAACGACTTAAATCAAGAAATAGTTTTCTTAGATCTACAGAGACACTCGCTGGAACACCTCAGCAAACGAGAGTTCAAAAGTGGCAGGCTCAAACCCAGCACCTCAATCCGTGGGTGATACCAGATGAGAGACTCCCCCCTGGGCACACAGAAGACTGGGCGACTTGGAAGGCGCTGAACAGACTGCGCTCTGGCACCATGAGATGCAGAGCCAATCTTAAGAAATGGGGCTACAAAGTTGAATCCTCGACATGCGAGTGTGGAGAAGAGCAAACCACTGACCACCTGCTGCAATGCAACCTGAGCCCTGCACATGCACAATGGAGGACCTTCTTGCAGCAACACCAGAAGCACTCCAAGTGGCCAGATACTGGTCAAAGGACATTTAACCAACTACCAAACTCACAAGTTTTGTATTTGTCTGTTTGTTTGCTTTGTTCTGTTAGAAATGTAATATAATGGACTGGTTGCTCTGACACGACAAATAAATAAAAATAAATACTACCTCTATGCAGAGACCCTCTGTGACGGCGCAAGTGGCGCCACCTATGTATAGAATTGTTAGTTGCAAGATTTAAACTGTTGTATCATGCTTAATCCTGCCCCTTTTTACATTGCTTGTGTACAGTTGTATGGATTGGTTACTTATAGCTGTCAATCAGTACTATTTGGCTCCACCTCTTCCTGCAAGAGGGGTGAACTTCTTTTCTTTTCATTCTGCCTTCAGAGATCATACCACATGGACGTGAGTAAAAGACTTCATTCTCAAGGACCCTGATTTAAGTTACCTCTTAGCACCAGTTCTAAGGTTTTACCCCTGGGACTCATGCTTTATGTCCAGATCATCCTGGACAATTATTGAGGAGACCCAGGTGCCTTCGAGCCGGTTCTTTTGGCACCAGAGGAAGATCCTGAATCTTCAAGACATAGGCCATCTGAACTGGGGTTGTGGTTTGCTCCGGCATTCACAGCCATTGAGGAAGGAGGAAACTTGGTGAGGCTTCTCAGCTTCAAACCCCTTGGACCCAGGACTTATTGAGACTGTAAAGTATGTTTTCCTTCACCCCTCTGAAGTTTTCCAGCTCACTGCTTTAAAGAAATGGCTTTGTTATCAATAAAACTTATTTTGAGCTATTTACAGCGTTTTGGGTTTTTGGGAGTTCCAGTTTCCTAAAGGAGGGCAAGAAGCAATCCCTTGGGGGAAAAGTGCCACGTCCATCCCTCCTTCATTAAGACTAATAGCCCCCAAGTGCGACGGCACACCCTCACTGATTGACGATGCTACACAATGCTTATCAAGCTTGCTAATTGTAAAATTCACACTTGCTTCAAACAGGCAAGGGTTCTTTCTCCCACACTGGAGATGATTATAGTGATATATATACACCCCACTTGCTTCACTGCCATTAAAATAAATGTAATAATACTAAAAAAGTAAAATAATAAATGTAATAATAATAATAGCATATAATAATAATAATAATAATAATAATAATAGAGTAAAACAATGGAAAGTCTTGGAGACATTAAAGAAGTATGAACCCAGAAGCCCCCTCTGCTATTCGCGGCCCGGCCTGCAGAGGGCGCCGCTCTCCCCTCCTCCCTTCCTTCCTTCCCTGACTCCCTCCCTCGGGCTCAATGGCGCCTCCTTTTCCTCCTCCTCACCCTCCAGCAGGAGCGCCTCCGCCAGGCCTTGCCGTTGTTGTACCCGCCGAGAGTGACCGCAGTGAAGTCCCGCCGAGGGGGCGACGGGAGCGGCGGGGGCGGAGGCGCCGAGGGCGAGCCCCCCGCGTACATGGCTCCCTTCCTTCCCTCAGGAGGCCGCGGCCTCTCCGCTTCCTTCCCCGTCGGCCGCCATGATTCCTCCACGGGCCCACAGAGACGCGCGCCTAGAGCGGCTGCGCGTGAGCCCCTCCCTACACGTACGCTCTCCACTTCCCCTTAGCAACGAGGCCTACTAGGTTTTCCCTAGCAACGGGGCCTAAAAAAGCCCCAAAACTCCACATTGTCGAAGGCATTCATGTCCGGAATCATTGGATTGCTGTGAGTTTTCTGACTGGCTGTGTTCCAGAAGCATTCTCTCCTGATGTTTGCTCACACCTCTAGCAGGTATCCTCAGAGGCCTGTTGGAAACTAAGCAAGTGAAGGCAGAGAGTTCCACTGTTGAACAGTGTGACGATGTGTAACTTTTATTCTTATGGTTATGTGTTGTTTAAACAGTAGTTAATAAATGGTAAGTATGTAGGATTATATTTTGTTAGAGATGGTGGCTGGTGGCTTGAGCTGAGTTGCCATAGCAACAGGGGCGGAGCCAACTGTCACTTCACCGCGCAGCTTTTTGAAAGTGACAGTCTGTAAGCCGGAGAGCTACAGGAAGGGACTGATTTCTCTAGTGGGAGAAACAGGGAATTAATTTGTGACCAAAGGGGTTACAGGAAAGGACCCGGTAGTGATAAAACTACAGGGGGTTATTGATTCTGGGTTAAGAATCAAGGTTTGGCTGGGAGCCAATTCTGTTGAATAGGCCTTTTGGCTTATTTGTTTTGTTGGGACAGAAGAGCTACATCTGCTTATAGAAACCTCTTGGAAGTCTGTACCTAAAGTAACTCATGAAACCTTACTAATGTAACCAATCAAGATTCGTGCCCCTTGTGAAGAAACAATCGAATCTGTTATACCTTGCTTGTTCTAATAAACTTGTTACTGTTTTCCTCAAGCCTTGCCTGATATAAGTTTCTCCTAAGTCAAACAGCCTGCATAAGAAGTAAAACCAAACCAGGGACAGAAAACACTACGCTATCAATACTTCTGTAAATAATAGTCCCTTTATAAACCAGCTCATAAGCTGATATTGATCATTGCCCGGCTTTCCTCACAGATTAGGTGGCAGTAGTTTTACCCTCTTTTACAAACAGTTCTTACAGTTCCTCAACTTCAGCTAGAATCTCCTTTTATGTTATTTGAACCCATGGCTCCACTGAGTCCAGCAGAAAACAAAAACAACACTAGGCAAGTGGAGGCAGAGAGTTCCACTGTTGAACTGCACTTACAGTCAGAAAACAGTTCCTCAACTTCAGCTGGAATCTCCTTTCCTGTTATTTGAACCCATGGCTCTACTGAGTCCAGCAGAAAACAACAACAAGACTAGGCAAGTGGAGGCAGAGAGTCCCACTGTTGAACAGCACTTACAGTCAGAAAACAGTTCAACTTCAGCTGGAATCTCCTTCTCTGTTATTTGAACCCATGGCTCCACTGAGTCCAGCAGAAAATAACAACAACAACGTCTTGCCAAAGGCCAGAATCACTGGGTTGCTGTGAGTTTTTTGGGTTGTATGACCATTGTTCCAGAAGCATTCTCTTTTGACGTTTCACCCACATCTATGGCAGGCATCCTTAGAGGTTGTGAGGTTTGTGGGAAACAAGGCAAGTGAGGTTTATATTCCTGTGGAATAATGCCCATAGTGGGAGAAAGAACTCTTTTTGAGTTTGAGTCTGTTTGAGGAATGGATGAATGTTGCAATTGGCCACCTTGATTAGCATTTAATGGTCATATAGCTTCAAAGCCTGGTTGGTTGCTGCCTGGGGGGGGAATCCTTTGTTGGGTTAGGCTCAGGAGCAAGCAATTATCATAATCATAATAATCATTGTTGTCAAAGGCTTTCATGGCCGGAATCACTGGTTTGCTATGAGGTTTCCGGGCTGCCTGGCCCTATTCCAGAAGCATTCTCTCCTGACGTTTCGAACACATCTGTAGCAGGCATCTTCAGAGGTTGTGAGGTCTGTTGGAAACTAGGAAAGTGGAGTGTGTATGTATATACCTGTGGAATAATGTCCAGGGTGGGAGAAAGTACCCTTATCTGTTTGAGGCAAGTATGATTGTTGTAATTACCCAGCTTGATTGAAGCCTTGCAGCTTCAAGCCTTGCAGCTTCAAAGCCTAGCTGCTTCCTGTCTGGCTAACACCTCCCAACAAAGGATTACCCCAGGCATTAGTATTAGTATTACTATTAATTTAATAATAATAATAATAGTAATAGTAATAGTAATAGCAGCAGCATTTGTCTCCATTGCCTTTTTTAGGCCCCTTCCACACAGCTGTGCAAAATCCCACATAATCTGCTTTGAACTGGGTTATTTGGTAGTGTGGACTGAGTGGAAATCATCTATCGGACAGATGGCAAGCTATTTAACCTCAGCCGACTGAAAGCCAAAACCAAGGTTACAACAACATGTCATAGAACTCCAGTATGCTGAGGACAACATCGTCTGTGCGCATTCAGAAGATCTACAAGCTACTGTAAACACCATCGCAGAAGCATGCGAGAAGCTCAGCCTGTCATTAAACATCGAGAAAACCAAAGTGCTCTACCAGCAGTCACCAGCTAATCCCAGAAATACAGTTTAATGGTGTAACATTAGAAAATGTTGACCATTCCTGCTACCTTGGCAGCCACCTCTCCACAAAAGTCAACATTGACACTGAAATACAAAGCCGCCTGAGCTCTGCGAGTGCAGCATTTTTCTGAATGAAGCAGAAGAGTGTTTGAGGACCGGGGAGACCAAAGTGCTTGTTTATAAAGCTATTGTCCTCCCAATCCTGCTATACGTCTGCGAAACGTGGACTGTCTACAGATGTCACATGCAACTCCTGTAACGCTTCCGTCAGTGCTGCCTCTGGAAAATCCTGCAAATCTCTTGGGTAGACAAGCAGACAAATGTCAGCATGTTGGAAGAAGCAAAGACCGCCAGCATTGAAGCGATGGTCCTCCGCCATCAACTCTGTTGGACCGGCCACGTTGTCTGGATGCCCGCCCATTGTCTCCCAAAGCAGTTGCTCTACTCCGAACTCAAGAATGGAAAACAGAATGTTGGTGGGCAGGAAAAGAGATTTAAAGATGGGCTCAAAGCCAACCTTAAAATCTCTGGCATAGACACTGAGAACTGGAAAGTTCTGGCCCTTGAGTGCTCTAGCTGGATGTCAGCTGTGACCAGCAGTGCTGTAGAATTTGAAGAGGCACGAATAGAGGGCAAAAGAGAGAAGCGTGCCAAGAGGAAGGCGCATCAAGCCAACCCTGACCGGGACCGCGTTCCACCTGGAAACCAATGCCTTCACTGCGGGAGAAGATTCAGATCAAGAATAGGGCTCCACAGTCACCTACGGACCCACACTGGAGGATTATCCTACTTGGACAACGAGGGATCGCCTAAGTAAGTAAGAACATACTGGGGCTTATATAGTTCCAAAAACTACAGTCCTTTGGGATCCCATGCAGGGAGGAAGACGAGATCTAAACCAAACATAAATTAGGAAAAAGCTTGCCAGTATTTACAAAGCACTTTAATGTGTTGAAATTGTAAAGACATCGTAGAAACTTCGCATGTCCAGAGCCTATATACTGTATGTATATATGTGTGTGTGTGTGTGTGTGTGTGTGTGTATAAAGGCACTTTGAAGGGAAGAGGGGAAAAAAAGATAGAAAGGGATGATTAAAAATGATGATTCCAATTTCGAAACCTGAGCCAAAGGTTTACCAAAAGTGGTATGATTTCAGCTGGTTTAGGACTTTGGCTTTGCATTGCAGGCCTGGGCCAACTTTGGCATTCCACGTGTTAGGAATTGTGTAAGGAATCGTGGGAGTTGAAATCCAAAACACCTGGAGGGCCGAAGTTGGCCCAGGCCTGCTGTAAACACAAATCAGCTCCCTTGCGTTCATCATCCAAACACCCTTCTTGATTATTTCCCCCATTTAAAAAAAGATTTAGATAAACTAGGCAGCGTCTTCCAAAATGTAGGGTTCTCCCTGTAAATCCTTCATTCAAGCTTCTTTTAGTAGTGCGTCTGCTTTGGTTTCATCCAGGAGGAAAGGCGACCGGAGCTCTTTGGATTTCAAACATTTTTCCAGGCCCTGTGGAAGACAAGACAAATCATTTCCATTTAGCTTGAGTCATGACCAGTTAGTGGAAAAAGCTCTATCTAGATCAAGGTTGTCAAATACGTTTCCACTGAAGGCCACATCACAGAATCATAGAATAACACAGCTGGAAGACACCCTGTGGGCCATCTAGTCCAACTCCCTGCAATGCAGGAAAGGCACAATCAAAGCATCCCTGACAGATGGCCATCCAGTCTCAAGAATAATAATAATGATCTATATATAGAAGAAAAGTTAATGTTTGTATGCGGGGGGTGTATGTGGCAGCTTTCTGATTGGCTGCCGCTTTCACAGGCCACTGCAACCTGCATGGGTGACGGACCTGGACCAAACATCGGCACACATAACCCCCATGACCCCCTTTACATCCTGGTGTGGTTTGGGGGGGAATGGATGATGGATGATGGGATTTGCAGCACTTTCAAACAGTTTGACATCCACAGACCACTGCGGCCCCCAACCAATGACTGATCTACACCAAACTTGGCACACAGAGCCCCCATGACCCTCTCTACATTCTGGTGCAGTTTGGTAAAGAATGGACCATGGACGATGGGACTTGCAATACCTTCACTCACTTCCTGCGACCACTGCCTCAGAGCCTCCAAGACACACTCTATGTCCTGGTGTGGTTTGTGGGAGGATGGACCATGGATGATGGGAGTTGCAATACTTTCACTCACTTCCTGATACCACTGAGAGCCCCAATAATCACTGATCAAGACCAAACTTGGCACACAGAGTTCCCATGACCCACTATGCATCCAGGTGTGGTTTGTAGGAGGATGGACCAAGGGACTTGCATATAGGAGTTGCAGTTCACCCGCAGCCACTGAACCCATCTGACATTGGATCTCAACTAAACTTGGAGCACAGACAAGCTAAACAGAACAAACTTCCAGATATTGCTGTATCACAATTCTATGATGTCTAAGGATGAGGAACA